AGGCCCGGGTAAGCACAAAATCTCAAAATCGACTTCTTGCACGAACACTGCCTTTAAGAAATATTAGAACATCAACTTACAGTCGAAGATGTCTAGGTTTCAAGACGAGAACACATGGAAACTTATACATCAACGTCCAGGGTTTTGCAGATAATAATTTGGAATGCGAAGTTAGCGTTTAGCTCTTCATGGGTATAGTTCCGTCCAGAAAGGCCAATCGACCAAAAACCTTTCCCTGTTAGTTAGACATGTGTGCTGATGTCAGAAATACTTTCGAATAAGTGGAACTACCAGCATTGTTGACGATGAATTCGAGTGTGGTACTTAGGCGCATCCAAAATTCACAAGAGGCTACAGGACTCGTACGGAAAGTACTCGATTCACTGCCCAGATTATTCGCGTAATACTAAATTTTGAGAGAGAAAGTGGCTTATTTACTTCCAAAATGCTCTGAAAAATCTATTTGTAAGGAATTTTGGTGCAAAAAGCGACACTTATCAGGATATACAGTCGTTTTCGCTTTCACTCAAATCGTTTTTGAAGTTGCATATATCCAGTACTGCGCAATAGGCAAAACAGAATTTTCAGCGATGAATCACTCGTCGTCAATATCTTGGATCTATGGATAGCAGGGCAAGAAACGACGTCAACAACTTTGTGCTGGGCTATGATCTACTTGCTGAGAAATCCGAAGGTGATTGGTAAAGTTGCCTGAGTATTTTTTCTTCTACACTCTTCCAAATTCCCAATTAACACTGGAAGCATTGCATCATAAGAAGTTTCAAAGCACTATGGGCAAACGTGGTTTTCAATTTACTGAAATGCTAGCATTCAGGTCATGACTACTGTAAGAGAAGAACTGCTCAAAGTCACTGGAGGATCCAGACCTCTTTCACTAGCTGATAAGCAGAATACTCCGTATTTTGTTGCTACACTTACGGTACGTAATTCTCGGAATAAATATGGTCTTCTCCATTCTTCTACAGGAGATACAACGGATGTCGTCAATATTAAACATAAACATCTTCCGATTAGCTGACTCCGATACCGAGATTGGTGGACATCCTGTGCCAAAAAATACAGTAGTATCGGCAGAGCTATCGCTGATCTTGAGCGATGAAAGCAGATTTCCAAATCCTGAAAAGGTCGGCAATGATCATTTACCCATTTTTCGTTTTTTCTTTTTATACTAAACGTTTTCAGTTCGACCCATCGAGATACATCTCTGATCCCTCCCTAG